CCCCGTAACCGGCACCACCGCGGCGAGATCGGTCCCAGCCGAGGCTTCACTTGGAGCCCGCAGCAACGGGCTGTCGAGAGAGCCGGGCGCTGTGAAATGCCTCACTATAAAAACCGGGCACCAGGCGGTGCTTTGCGTTCCTAAGTGTAATCTTGCCGCGCTATTTTTTTTTTCCCTCTCCTTTGGCTTTTTAATTACTCCTTTATTGACAGAAATAAATCTCAGTGTGTGTCCTGTGGATGAATGTTCCTAAACGTGATGTTTTGGGGTTACTGAATCCACCTTCAGAAAGAGAAAGGGAAAAAAAACCCCAAACAACAAAACCCAAACCCAACCCATTAAAGATTCAGATTTTATATATCTGTATTTCAGGTTGGAACCCTCTAGGAGCTGTCTAGATTGGCTGCAAACACAAATCTGTGATGCTAAATTAATGCCTGTCCATTCTGACCTTGGTTTACCGATAAGGTTGAGAATGATTGGTGTCTTAAGACTGTTTTATGGCAAGTTATTTGATTGTAATTAATTAAGAGGAAAGACGAGCTCTGGAAATAAAGGGGTTTTTTAATTAACTGAATCCTGACAGGGTTGGTTGTCAAAGTCACGTTAAGCAGATATCGGATGTTCTCCGTCCTAGACTGGGTAATCTCATAGTTTCCAATGGTTAGTGAGTGTTTCAACCACTGGAGCATGAGGTTTTGATTTTTATTTTTTTTTTCTTCCTACAACAGTGGATTGTTGTCCACACAATCTTTTTTTTTTGCCATGTTGACCATGCTAACATTTTTTCTCAGTCTTTGGCTGGCAGATGAGAAAGCTAAATCTGAACACGCTGTTCTTGGCAGTGACTTGTCTTTCCACTCCTCCAGTCAGTGGTATCATGATTTCCATGTTAAATTCTGTTTCCTCCCTATTGTGAAGGCACTGGATTTTACCCACATAGTTTCCCAGTTACCTGTTTCTCCTGGGCCTGTTGTTGTGTCCCTGGCGCTGGTTAAGCTGCATCGACTTGTCGTTAGCAGCTTTTACCAGGTTCCTGCTAGTCGCTCCTGCTTGGTGCAAAGGCTTCATAGCAAACAGCAAGCAAAGGCACAGCTGGAAAAAGCCTTAACCAGCTGAGGAGCTTTCTGACAGACTTGACTGCCCGAAGGACGTGCAGTGTCATCCATGCCTACGGGGCACCTCCCCTCCACATCCCTCTCCCTGGCTGCCACCAGCCCCACAGAGCCGCTCCGGGTCCACAGGAAGGTGCTCGCAAGGCACCGTTTCTGGTTTCGCAGGTTTGCGTTTTGTAACAGAAGCCACCATGGTTCGCAGTCACCCGTGTGATTTTTAGTGCTCTGTAATAACAAAAAATGAGTAATTTCTAAGTGTGACAGCTTAATTTGTCCAGGTTGATGGGTTTAAAAATACATCATAAATGCTCAAGGTTCCTTTTGTGTGCACTGCCTCCTCCAACATCAACGGATTTCTTTAACCTAGTTAGCATTTCCTATTTGTACAACCCCTTAATCTGTTTGGGTGGCAAGACCTGCAGCTCTCTGATACCCTGGTTTATATCCAGAGCCGTCAGTCTTGGGCCTTGCCCTCGAACAAGCTGGCAGCCTCTTGCAGGACAATTATCTTCCAGACTTCCCACCCTTGATGGGGATGCACGGGAGAGAGGGCTGCCTGGGAAGGCTGGTCAGTGCATTCCCGTCGTGCTGGGTACTGACTCTTGACCTGTGTCACGGGCTATACGATAACATATAGAATATATAGAATAATTCCCACTACTAGAGGCTGGTTCTTACTTGGTAGCAGAACTGATCAACGCAAGATGTCCTGACAACTTTTCCCTTTGCTTTTCAAACCCCATACAAAGCACTGATGAAAAGTTTCCTTCCTTCTTCCCGAGTGACACTGCTACAAAGAATGTCAGGCAGAGGTCTTGCGACTACACCTCTTTGGGGCTGCGTTCGGGCTTCATACGTCAGAATGAATTGAGCTGTGCTTTCCGGCAGAAAGCAGAAGGGCCATGTCTGGTGAAATAAGAGCTGCGTGGAGAGCAAGATGAAAGTATATGAGTCTCTGGAGATGTAGTGTGCAAGTCTGCCATTCAGCTTTATTTTTATTTGGCTAAAAAATAAATCTTGCTTCTGACAGCTACTTTAGATTTTAATCAAACCAATCTAGGCTGCATACTTTCTGCACAAGTACTCAGCTTTGGTTTCTCCCTGGATCAGAAATGAAGAACATTTCTTCCTATTAAGCTTGAAATCTGAGCTATGCGATGTGGGACTTCAAAGTGGGCGTTCTGTCAGGGGTGGGTCAGAGAAATGCAGCTCACTGGTGACGCAGGGATCTTGGGAATCCTAGTGCCTGATCTGGTCGGAGGCAGCGCTCCCAGTCCGTTACCATTGTATGAGAGTTTTGCAGTGTCCCATCCCGTCTGTCACCCCCCAGGTTTGGTCTTTTATGCAGCACACCTCTGCATCCCCCCCACTCCCCCCCACCCCCCCAAATTTATCTTTAAGCTTCCAGAAAAAACAAATCTTGACATCAGTATAGAGAAACAGTAGCATATGAACTGAGACAAAGCACGTGCCAAAATACCTTCTGGTCCTGCTCAAGCGAGAATGTCAAGTTACACACGGTTATTCTGCAGTTCAGCTCTGTTCTGCACCCTGTTTCTTGGCAGTAGAGCCCAAATTTCACAAATTTTCATTTCTGTAATGACTCAGTGTTTGCTAAGTAGGAATATCCCATGCTTCCCCCCAAGGTGCGTGCTTGAGGGCATTCTTTTTATGTGCTAAACAGCAAAGGAGAGGAGAGGAAGGGAAAGGACTGGTAATCTTCAAAATAGTGTTACAGCTATGATGTTCTCAGAAACGTCCTAACTGGAATTTCCCACACTTGCAAGCATTTCATGCCTCACCACACAGCCCAAACTAACCCAAACTCTGAGGGATTGTTATTCATCTCCAGAACTGGTGTTCCTTGATGCAGCTTTTAACTTTCCCACTTCCTGGGTAGTCACTTGGTTGTAGTTAAGTGTCAGTAACAGTTTCAAAGTCCTTGGTGTCTTTCCTAATATTCAGCTCAGTAATCCAGTAGCCTGCAGACCCGCTGTTGCAGTAGCGTTTCTGCCGCCTGGAGATGGAGGCCATTTTGCATCCTTTGAGCGGCATCGTTTCTGCGCATGGGTGCCAGGCGGCTGAGGCAGATGGTGAACGCTGGGGGCAGCGCGCTTTTCCCAGCATCAGCTGCAGCCCACCCACTACCGGTCATGAATTTGCTGGGCCAGTCAGTCTGGACCTTGGAGTTTGGTTGATGGTTCTTGCGCGCATGCCTGATCAGCGCCTCCCTTCCCCACATCCCGTCTCCTGCTGCTTTCGGCACTGGGATGGCTTTGCAGCAGCAGACCCGCGTCTCAGAGGTGTGAGACAAAGCGGATGCGCTGGGAGTACGCCAGGTCCATGACGTAGAGCAGCAGGTTCACGTAGGTGAAGATAGCAATCACCAGCTGGCTGTCCCAGGGGCACCGGCCCTTGGCGCAGAGGCCAGGGCGCCGCGGGGAGCCGTACTTGCTGTCGAAGCAGAACACCGGCCAGATGACGGCTGCGCTCACGTATAGCAGCACGGCCCCCACGGTGTAGATGACCACAGAGCGCTCGAAGGGGAACCAAAGCAAGGCGGTCTTACCTGTGACACTGAAGGCCACCACCACCACTGTCACCACAAAGCAGAAGCTGTAGACAGCCACACACCACTGCGTCGCCACGTATTTGCCATACTGGCTGTCGTTCACCAGCGCCCCAAAGATGATGCAGGCCACAAAGGCCTGCACGATTTTCACGAGCCCGGAGACGGTGGCCATGTAGCTGGTGACTTGTCCTGGTTTTGCCCTGGTTAAGAAGACCTCAGCGGCGTACGCAAGGAACAGGAGGCCTGCGCAGACACTGGGTGGCTTTTGGAAGTCTCTCACCTCGCAGCCGATGGGGTAACAGCCAAGCTGGACAAAGTAGAGCGGGTAGATCACCGCTGCCGTGACGGACATGAGTGTGGCAAGCATGGCAAAAGCAGCAGTGAAGTTTCCCCAGGAGATGCTCAGGCAGCTGTGCAGGTGCGTGAATTCACAGGTGATGATGAAGACAGTGATGGCGAAACAGAAGGTCCAGACAAACATGCAGAAAGTGCCGTACGCTGCGCTGAATCCCCCCTGGTGTGCTACAAGGCTGAACGTGGTGCATCCAAACGTCATCTGCAGCAAACGAGCTATTCCCACAGGGGATGTCACAGCAGCCGTGTTCAGATATAGCCCTCCTGTGCTCTCCATCATCTTTCCGGTCTGGCAGACAATGCACTTAAAGCCCCCCAAATGTCCTTTCAGGCTTTTGCTGCTTTGTCCTGAGTCACACCTGGTACTGGATCAGAGAGCGGCAGCTCAGATCCCCGCCTTGTCTCTGCCAACATCGGTAGGTGCTGCGTGTGACGCTGAGTGTGCGCTTCTGGCAGCCTCTCAGCACAGACTTGCTGGCTGCAGGGAGGTTACCGGCTGGCTCTGCGCACCAGCTGCAATCTCAGGGTGCCGCAATCAGCTCGCTCCGCTTTCTCAGGTCTGAAACCTGCCCCCTGTTCTGTTCTTTCACCGTCTCCTTTCCCATATGGGGGCTGAAGGGATCGCTTTCTCCCTGGAGGCTGACATTTATTCCATTTTAGCTCTGCAGCTGCGGCTCTCTGCTGTGCCGTTCGCAGCAACCCAGGGGTATAAATAGGGGCTATATTAATAGTTCTGGAATGCATCCCACCCTCCTCAACTGCCATGAGCGTGTGTTATTTAACACTGAAACTGCGAGCTCTGTCAGAGGCTCTTGATTATCCTTCTGCTATTCCTCTGAGAACGTCCGGGTCACTGGAACACTGCTGTTCTCCAGCAGCCACCCCACACCGTGGGGGCTGTCGTGGAAGTCGGCTGTGATCCAGCCACCCTGCAGAAACAGGAGCTCAGTCCTGCAGACCCAAGGCCCTATGTGAGGAGGGGCACAAGCCCAAAGGCATCACAAGCCCTATGAAAGGATTTAGGCCAGAGGCTACAATAAAAGCTGACTCACTTTGCTCCATTTGTTCTGGAGCAGTATATATTTACCTGCTGCGAAAGGCCCTGCTGTGCTTGGAGCACTAGTGAGAGCACATGGCTGTGAAGGTTTTGAGCACCAGTCCTCACTATCTCCTTAAACTCTTCCTTGTCTCTCTGTTGTACTTAGATGGGAACCAGTTATTCTTGTATCTCTGAATGACAAAACCAAATACAATTGTGAAAAAAAAAATTGCTTTGATATTCTTAGCTCTGTCTTGGAACACAGATTTCAATATATAGCCTCAAACCCTCCCTCCCGTTGGATCAACGCTTTCCCCAGTAGCCATTTTTGGTACACATTTCCCCAGACTCTGTCTCTACCCAAAAGTCTCTTAATTCTAACTAAAAAGCCCCCAAGAAAATTTCTGGTGTAGTTTCAGGGTGGCAAAAATGAAAAACACAACATAGTGGGAAAATGCCTCAATTACCTCATGGCAGCATTGCTGACTCCTCACCTGCAGACCAGCTCTCACTGTGCTGGTCCCAGTATGGAAGCAGGATCATCCCAGGAGCTCTGCACAGGTGCAGGGAGTCAGCGTGACCAAGGGCCAGCCTGGCCCAGAGCCTTAAAACCGCTCTGAATGGCTCAAGGTAGCCATCAGCTGTGCTGATAAAGTCTGTAACTTAACTGGGAATTATAATCGACCCTCATGCTTAGTAACAATAATAATTGCTTAATATCATTGTTTCTTATTAGTATGTTAATGTAACGATGTGGCACCCATCAATGAACAGCCACACTCAGTGCTAGGTACTGTAAAGAACAGCTGACGAAAGAGAGTGTCTGCTCCAATTTATGATCTTAGCATGCAGTTCTAGGGCAGCATGGGCTTGTCCAGGCAAAGGCGCTGCTGCCCCTTCTTCCGTGGCCCTCCCTTGTGCTGTGACTGGGGACGTGAGGCTCGGTTTGGAGAGCTCAGAGAGCTGAAAGCTCCCAGATCCCCTGGAACAATACCCGTTCTCAGCGATTTGGGGCCTGCAAGGTCTGCTGGCACCACCGCTGTGGCAGGCGGGACCACCACCTGGGACGTGCGGCGGCGGCAGCCCACGCTGCCGGGAAGCGTGCCTTTACAGGAGTCCCTGCATGGACAAAATGGCCTTTGGAGTTGATGCAGCAAGTCCAGTTTCTGGGTGCTTGTTCCCAGCCCTCCACCCTCCCCTCCCTTGGTCTCAACGCATCTTGCCTGCACAACTGCTCTGTGGGCTGGATCAGGATACGAGTCTCAGATTTAAAAAAGAACAGCAGAACACTTGCACCTGACAGGGGTTATTTTTAACCTGGAGCCATCACTGGTCTGATTTGCACTGTAGATGTGCATGGTTGGATCCACACAGCAGTGGCATCGACAGAGCAGCCAGGAGCAGGGAATTGGACAGGAACTATTTAAGCCAGTATTGCTGCTGCAAGTCACTTGCAATCCAGCTGTGGCGTAAGACAAGAGACAAATGGAGACCAACATAGGTTACAGCAGGACTGCTTACAGCAAAAAGCAGTGGCTACAGTACTCCAGCAGCTCACAGTCGGCATTTTGTAGGCCAGGGATAATTTTACAGGATGATTTGCATGAGAACAGTACAATTAAGATATTAAGATATAATGTACCTACCTTCAGCTTTGTCACCCTCTGGTAAGCTCAGTGAAAAAAATCCCTCCCATTTTCCTTAAGACTGCTGGTGCTATGCCTAGAAAACCTGCATTCATTTGGGGTGGAAGTTGCACAATTAACATCACAACAACCAGGAAATGCAGCAAGAGAAGCAAGGAGCTCCAGGTGAACATGCTCTCGCCCTGAGGTCTTGCCCTTCCTGACTCTCTGTGATGTTAATCCTTCACCTCCAGCAAAGTTTCCCAGACTTCACCGGCAGTGTGTTACTGTTGGTATTGTGGCATGTCTTGTAAAAGAGAGGGGCTGTGTTACAAGGCAAAGCTATTGCTGCTGTTGGACTCTCACCCATCCTGTCTGGGGATGCTGCTTCATGGTCCCTGTGCAGTCTCAGCACTCCATCAGCGATGCTCTGTTGCCCCTAAACACAGCTGAAATCACACTCGTCATTTTCCTCCTTAAGCCCTGGCAGGAGCCCCTCTAGATCCCCCCACCCCAACACTCCCCATTGTAGCATTTGGCTGGCTATGTGAGGTCAGTGAGGAAAAGTTTATTCGATACTTATTATATGACAGTCAAGCTGCTGTACTGAACTCCAGCCACAGGAGAAGAGCGATTGTACAGTTTAAAGCCCACGGCGTTACTGCTCACACTGTAACTTGCTGCATCACCTCCCATCTGACCAAGAGACCAACACTTTCACGAGTAGAGAGCAAGGGAACACTCCATGTCAAGGCACACTCGAGGGCAACTGCTTGCAAGGCTCTGATACCACAAGCCGATCGTCCCCCCATAGCTGCCCTGTGCCCTGTGCCCCACCGGTGATGCCTGGGCTCAGTGCAGAGCTGGTCCTGCTGCTGGGCTGCTTCTTCCCACGAGAAATGATGCCACTCCGGAGAGACCCCGCACCGGGAGGCAGTGCTGGCAGAGGGCAACGGTCCCCAAAATGAGCAGCCAGCAGGAGCAGTGCACCAGATGGACCACTGCCTTCTGCCGAGGTGTCGGGTTTGAATGCGCAGATCTCCAGCTTCTGTGGGTCCCCAGAGCCTCTGGGTGCTACCCGCACTCTCTTTTCCCAGCATCATACAGGTGCACTGCTGAAGCACTTACATTTTTTCACTTTAAAAACATGTAAGCAGACATCAGATAGGAGGTCATTAATTAGAAACCCACTGCTTCTTGCACCCCATCACCTCAGCTTGTTGTGCTGCTTCCTTGAGACCCTCTTCTGCTGAACAGGGAAGGCTCCACCTGCACAGTCTAAGGTTTGTTCTGAAAGGAGATTCAGAGCCACAGACATTTGCTGGTGAATGGCACGGCAGCTTTGCAATTAAAATGACTGTCGAGAAGCCCACATACCCATGCATCAGACCAGTGGCTCCTAAACGGTAAGTCACAGCATCTTACAAAGTGAGACGCCGATCAGCACAGAAGAGACCATGGCTACTAAACTGTCCAGATTTTTTAGCCTGGGTTCCACGTGAAGTGTGCTGTCAGGAGGACCGAGTAGCAAGGGCTAGCGTGGGGGGCAAAAGCTCGATCAGCTGCTCCATGGCTGCAGCAGACGCTGTGGAACCGAGGAAGCAGCAGCAGCAGTAGCAGCAAGGCTGTCCCACTGCTGCTACCACTCTCTTGCAGTGCTTTCGCAGTAATGACGCTGCCTCTGTGTGGCTTGCCCAAGGAACAGGGCACCTTTCCCCAGAGCAGCCCCCCTGCGCTTCTCCTCACTCCTATGCGGCGCTTCCCCCCGGCAGCTGCCCCTTGTCCAGCACGAGCTCCGGCCGCTAAGACTGGCAGAACAGCATTGTCCGTGGTCTTCACTGTACAGTGGCTGGGGTTGGTGTGCATTGCTTGGTCAGATCTGCCATCCTCCTCCATGAGGGCTAAAGGGTGGGTTGTCTGGGTAATGCTTTCTTTCAGGCCCTGTGTATTAGCAGCGATTCCTGTAGTGGACAGAGGCGTGGGGTCCACCCTCCAGCTCATGACTGAAACCGCTTATGTCCCCAATGCCCCAGCCTGGACCTGTAGTCATGCAAATGCACACACTCTGCTATCAGCTTTTGACTTCTTGGTCGCCTTTTAATTCTGGCTCAATCATGTGATGCTTTTGGAGACAATTTTTCCCTCTCAGAGGGAAAGCATCTCACATCTAGTCATAAGATCTGGGAGTACAAACACATGGTACTGAATTCTTCCAGTCTTGCCCTTTTTGCCACTGGCTTCCACAGACCAGATGTCACTGGGGATGAACTTAGAAGTGCCAGCTTTACAGAGGCTTGGGAAAATTACATTTATTGCACAAGTACAAGAAGTACAGGGCTGGAAATGACTTCCTGGGTTACAGATGCCAGTTTCCAGCTTCAACTGGCAACCACATTGTATCATTTTGTTCATCAATTAGCCAAGTTCCCCTTTAGAAATATTTGAGACTTCTCCCTGTTACACATTTTAAAAGACTGTTGCAGAGACAAAAGCTAAAAGACTGATTTCTGACTCCTAGGGATTTTTTTCCTGTGCTTGCAAGGAAAATACTCCCTCCAAACATTCTTTGCCCTTTAGAAATGATCCTTTGAATTAATATTTTAGATATACAGGTAA